GTTTTGATGGGTAGACTTGAATGCTTTGTTACCTGTAGCTTCTGATATGTTGGCTTGTGAATGCTTGAATGTTGGGTGTTTTAAGAATGCCCCTATGATGAACTCCTTGAGTTCTGAGGGCTTGATGCTTGAAACTAGGCTTGTATCATTTCTGGTTTTTTTGAAAGGCTGGACAGGGTAGGCATTTTGGCTTGTTGAGTTTATCTCTTGGTTTTATGATAGGCAAGTTTGTTGTGAGTTTACTTCAGGCTATGTGTTTTCAGATTGTTGGTTTGGTGAGGCTTGAGGGCTTCAGGCAGGTTCATGACAGGGAGGTTTATGCAAATTTCTGGATGGTTGAGTTTGACAGTTTGTATGGTTTTGTAAACTGGCTTTGCAGGTTTGTTCTTTTGACAGGTTATGGGGTTTTGAGGCTCAGCAGGTTAATGGCTTTAGCAGGTTTGAACTTGACAGGCTCAGGTTTATGAGGTTTCACAGGTTTTAGGCTTGTGAAGTTTCACAGGTTTTTAGGCTTGTGTGTTATCTGGTTGTTAAGGCTTGGTTTTAGTTGACAGGGTTTAAGGTTTTGAAACAGGTACTATGCTTGGTTCGTTCAGGCCTTTTGATTTTGATTGCAGGTTTTTTGTGGTTTGATGGTTTAAGCAGGTATACTTGCAGGTTATGGTTTTGATGAACTGGTTATTTGACAGGTTCAAAGCTTAGGGTTGAGTTTGGACAGTGGTCTTGACTTTGGCTTGATAAGTTTATCTTTTTGTTTGATATCCCCCCCTCTGTACTGTTCTATTGCAGCTTCTTTTTATATTCTTAAGCCTTAAAGCATAACCTGTAAGCCTAAACACTTTTTCTCTCTTTTCTCTCTCCAGTACACTTTTAAGCATTAAAATATGTTTTATGTGTGTACTTCTCTGAAAAAGTCAATAGCTGGGAAATGATGAATTTGAGTTTTGTTTGCTTGTAATACATGTTTCCTCTGCATTCTTTATCTTCTTTTTGACAGCTTCTTGTACTTTTGTATCTTTGATATCTTTCCAAATCTTCTTATTTGACAGCTTTTGGCAGAAAGTTTGAATTTGAACTTTGGTTGGCAATTCAGTTTGTAACTTGAACTTTGGTTATTTGCATATGCTGTCTTGCTTTTGGACTATGCAGTTTTGACAATTTGAAATGTGCAATTTTAACTTTTGTGCATTCATTTAATTTGCAAACATTTTCACCCTTCTTTGTGAACCGGGAGAAATCCCGTGATTTGCAAAGAGGACTAACTGATCCCAGTTGTTGCTTTTAATGATGAGTCTAACTTAAACTGTCTATCTCTTTAATTCAATTTATCTGTTTCTAACTTTTCTTTCTCTTATTTGCAGATAAAATTGAATGGAGGGGAGCAAGGGATAGCAGATGAAGAATTGAAGATTAGAAAAATATTTAGGATAGTTTTTATTTAAGTTTAAATTACTGTAAAATTATTGTTGTAAACAAATTGTAAACAATAATTGTACGAATAATTTAAAAGTAAATAAAAAGTTTTTATCCAATTAATTCTTTTTTATCCTTTATTGTTTATTTATTATTTAAAATTCTTTGAATTATAATAAATGGAAAATAAATTCCAATCATTTAATCTTAGAATAATAAATAATTAAATAAACAATGCTCCAGCATTTGATCAGTTAAACCTGGCATTTCAAACATCCAGAGCAAAACAACAGTCAATCACAGCAATTGTCCATACACTTTTCCCTCTTATGACTTTAATCAAACATCGTAAATTCAACCCCAATGCAACCCTTTACTGATTCAGTCAAACAATCGTGAATTCAATCCAAACGCATTCTTTTACTGATTAAGTTAAACAATGCGAATTCAGTCCAAATCTCGGAATATCTTGCAAAGCATCGTAGAATTAGATCTTTCTGAGGAACCGCGCACGAAAACCCTAATTCCTGATTAAATGCCAAAGGAGCGTTCGCCTGACCGAAGTTGAGCCAAAATCAACCAAAACCCTAAGCCAATTGTTTGAAACATTCTAGAGCCCTGAAAATCAGTAAAAACCCTAATTTTGTCTGACTGACGAGAAAAGTCTGTTTGACCGATTCTTGAGCCAGTTTGAAAAATCAGGAAACGCCTGAAGCTGTGATTTCTTGTGGAAAAATGCGAGGGCAAATTTTGGGGTACAACACCAGGCGTGTGCATTTTGATATTTTCTTAATAATTTCAGGCCAATTCCATGCAATACATCACCCCACGCCTACCATGCACCATCAACACTCATCCACTGGATGCCCAGCTGGCCAGATCTCACGCTCCTCCCTTGAAGGCCCATGGTACACCATGCAAGTCACCGGTATACCAGATCCAGCGCTGACCAGGCCTGGAGCTTAATGGGCCAAAGATTTTCAGTTCAACACCCCCAACATTGCTATTCAACACAGGCCCATGTCTGAATACTTTTTATTTTATTATTTTTCTTTATTCTTTGCAATTTATATATTTATTTTTTAAAATCAATTTTTTTTATAAAAATCCCCAAATCAAGAATTCACAAATTTAGAATTAGTTTTTATTATCAAATTTAATTTTTAATTAATTAGCTTAATTTGATTTAGGGAAACTTTAACTTGTTTTTATAATTAAAATCAATTAGAAAAATAGATTTAAATTCTTGATTTAATTATTTTTTTTTCTTCAAACAAAAACACAAAAATTTGGTGATTTAATTATTTTTTCTAATTTAAGTTAATTAGTAATTAGGTTCCCTTTTTATTATTCCTTATTTTCTTAAAATAACAACAAAAAAAAACGACAAAAATGATTGTTTCTTTAATCGATTGCAATTAGATTTAGTCAAGGGTCAAAACTCTAATTTCTCTCGCATTTAATTTGCCGCACGCTTGTTATTATTTTTGCCATTATTTTGTAACTGTTTCAAGGTTGTAATAGTTTTAATTAGGGTTTTAAATTCCGTACTTTTATTTCCCGTCAAGGCAATTATGTAATTGTCAAATCCATGTAATAGCTAGGTTTATTTCCGCTTTTACTTTCAGCAAATTATTAAATGTTAGAAAACCCTAATGTGCAAAGACTAAATAACTTAAACAAATCATTCGCACATGTTCACTCCTAGGGTTTACCTCACTTCGGTTGCCTTCGGTAAACAATCATTAAGCATAGGAGATTTTAGTGGTTTCCCTCCAGTCTAAAGAGATCAAATTGTCCCGTTCGAATGTTGCCTCGGAAATGTTGCCTCAGAAATGTTGCCTCGGAAATGTTGCCTCAAAAATGATCTTAAAACTCTAGGGTTACTACTAAGATTTTCTAACTATTGCTTTAGTGATTGTACTTGTCCTTTTCGAATGTCCCTTACAACTCCAACGACGGTGCTACCTACTCCTTAATAGTAGGATAACGCTGTCTAAAGAAAATAGAACTGAAACAATCTTTTTTCGAGTAGGTAGATGCTAGTAGGTACTTGCTTAAAACAAATCTTTTCACACAAAACACCTTTAAAAAACAATTTTCAAAATAACTTCGTCACATCCTTGAGGACTGATACAACGGTTATCACGAAGTAAAAACATTTTCAAGACAAACACACACAAGCAATTTGAAAAATGAGCAAGTACCTAAGAGCCCATGGAAAACCATGGATAGAAAGGGTGCTAACACCTTCCCTTTCTATAATCCACCCCCGTACTAAAAAATATTCTTGAAAAAAGTTTTTTCTGTTCTTTTTCCTTTTCCTGATTGGATGAAATAAAAGTCGGTGGCGACTCTTGCTTACCGCGACATTTTACGAACAAAAAACGCAAAACGCAAACCAGTAAAAACAGTCGGTTCTGCCACCGTATCACAAAGGTGAACTTGAAGTTAGACATTGCTCAAGTGAAACACAGTTGACCGATATTTTCACCAAAGGATTGAAGATCGACAAATTCCTGAATTTGAGAAAGAAATTAGGAATAGTTCAAATTGACTATTTTTGAGGATGTTCGACAACTTGGATTATGGGTGTGTGTTGAAATATTAAATTAGATTAGATTAGATTTAATTAGATTTAATATTTAATATAATCCAAGTTGTGTTAGCCCAAACCCAATTAGGGATGTATATAAATAGTCATAGTGTGTATCATTATTTGTACACTTGAATAATACAAATCTTTATTTCCTTTATTATTCTCTCTTTCTCTCCTCACTAAAAATGTCTCATGCACTAACAAATTGGTATCAGAGCCTTTGAAGTAGTGTGTCTCTCACAAAGGTGTTTGTTCCTACACTATGCATCAATGCTCCTAATAATCTTCCCCAACAATTATTATCAATTTTAATTAGTTATTAAACCAATATGTTTTTTTGGTGTATAATATATTTTATTTTATAATGTTTGTTAATAGAAATTGTAAAATTAAAATTATAAACAATTATAAAAATTATAAGCTGTCCAACGGACCAAACCTGTTTTTCCTCACAGCTACTCCAATTTAATAAATTAAATTAATGTTTATATGACAATCATAATTGAAATATTTTTTTCTTTTTAATTTTTATATATATTTTTATATGAATTTTTTAATCATAAATATATAATACTTATTAAATATTTATATCGACTTTTCACATCATCTAATTTTTAAATTTTAAAACGAATATATATTCTAAAATAGTTTACAGAAAATCATAATAGATACAAAATTGAGAAAACAAGTGAAGAATAAAAATTTAGATAAACACAAATATAACACTTGATTTTACAAACAATCAATCATATTTTTTTATTAATTAAAAAATAAAATATTTTATATCCTTCACAATCATAACCACCTTATGATATCAATTTAAAAAGAAATTAAATTTTAAATAAAATTAAATATTTTCTTTATTCTTAGGAATTGTCTTGTAAATTTTTCTCAAAATAGTGAAGATCTGTGTAAGCGCTTCGAAGTGAGTTACCACTACCAACAACCACCACCGCCGTCGCACTCTCTTACACACACTCCTATTGAAATGGGAACGTTAGGCCGAGCTTTCTACGCCGTCGGATTCTGGATCCGCGAGACCGGCCAAGCCATCGACCGTCTCGGCTCTCGTCTCCAAGGAAACTATTACTTCCAAGAACAACGTACGTTCCACTCCATTTTTCAACTCAAATCATTTTCCGCTTTTTTCATTCATTTCCTGCGAATTTCTCTCTCCCTAGCCAATTTCGCTTGTTTCACTTACTCAATCGATTCATGTTTTTATTGATTTTCAATAGTTAGGGTTTGAAACGCGCTTTTTTGTATTCTCTTTTTTATTTTATTTTATTATGGTTTTCTTTGTTTGTATGGGGGTTTCGATTTGTGTTCAGTTTCCAGGCATCGACCTTTGATGAATGTATTTGATAAAGCTCCTTACGTTCATAAGGATGCGTTTATTGCTCCCAGTGCTTCCATTACCGGTGATGTTCAGATTGGCCAATCTTCTTCCATTTGGTATGGATGTGTTCTCAGAGGTAAACTACTGAACTCTGTATAAAATTTCATGGCACACTCAAGTTATATAAGCACATTGGCTCAGATATTTGTTGAAACTTGAAGGATTTGGAATAATATTGTTAAAATAATAGATACAAATTATATCCTATTAGTTATACTAAAACAGAAATTGGAATCTAGAATGCGTGCCTTTAGGATCCATTAGAACTGAGAGATAACAACATAACAGGTGAGACCGAATTAGAGTTCATAGAGAACTAGGTCTACAACAAGCCACCATTTTAGTTAACTGTCTAATGAGACATCGGTTACATAAATAAATAATCAAATAGGTAAGGGCAGGGACCTTGTGTCAGGCATGATAAAATGCTCAAACCCATTACAGATCATTCTAAACAAAATCCAGTAAATGTGTTACATGGTTTTTATTGAGATGTTTATTAATTTTGTTTTGTTTATGGGATTTATGAGTTATGACCATAACGACAGGTTTTAATATGAATCCCATTACCTATTGAGCATAATTAAGTTTCAGAATGTGAAGGTTCTACCATTTTTCTTTCATAAATGTGGTTTGGAAAAATACATGAATAGAGAATCATATCTGAAATCCAACTTCATATATGCTGAGTTTTCCTTTTATTTTCATTGCAATGGAAAAAAGTCGTGCCTCAAAAGATGCAAGGGACTCCAAACTGCCCATATTTTACCTAGGACGTGCTTAGTTGATCTGATATATTTTTTGAAATGAAAATATGTCTACTTTGGATTCAAGTTTTGAGTTGGATTCTCCCGTCCCAATGCTTTACAAACATGCTAATTGTAAAGCTCCAAATAAGTGAAGTGAAAACAAATGTAAGGTGACGCCGCAATACTCTAGACATGCTAAGTGGAGATGAAACTCATTCACTTCAGGACTGTAATTTTAAGTGTGTCCTCCCATTGTTTGAAAATGGCATTCAGTCCAATTGGATGCCTTTACCAAACCCCGAATAGCTGAACACCCCTACCCTCACTGCATTATACTCCCTTCTGCTCTCTTTGGGTAAAAGTAAGACGGAGAGGACCACGCTTTGGATACCTATTTCCTTCATTTTAAATTACTTCAACTATTTGTATTCAAATGGAGTGTTAACGACAATTGTTGTACATATATTAATATTCATGCTCTCATAATCATTTTATATACACATTGTGTACTCCATATTAAATGGGGTTTAGTATGAATAATCCCCACCCCAGCCCTCCTATCTTTCCAATATTTATGTTTCTGCTGCTGTTTTTTTACTTTTAACTAAATGATATTTTTTCTGTGAAGGTGATGTTAACAGCATTTCTATTGGATCTTCAACTAATATACAAGACAATTCTCTTGTTCATGTTGCTAAGTCTAATTTGAGTGGAAAGGTATTACCTACTATCATTGGAGATAATGTTACTGTAGGTGAGTAAAAAGGATATGTGATCATTTTGTCAATGACTTAAACATGGTTTTTGTGTGAATATTATCTAAGGATTTGGCACTATGAATTTAGGTCACAGTGCTGTGTTACAAGGATGCACTGTTGAGGATGAGGCATTCATCGGTATGGGTGCAATCTTGCTTGATGGCGTGTATGTTGAGAAACATGCCATGGTTGCTGCTGGAGCTCTTGTCAAGCAGCATACTAGGATCCCATGTGGAGAGGTTTGTTTGAACATGTTTTCCTTCAGAGAAGGAAGTGTGTGCCCTGTTCTGTTTGAAATTAAATAGTTTTAGATATTATAACTTTCTACAAGTATCAATGGAAGTTATCATAGAGCATTCATGATTCATTCTATGCGTGATTCAATTGGACCTATATTCAAACAAATCTTCAGAAGGTTTTCAGCTTATTACGACCATCATGTGTATTTTGCAGGTTTGGGGAGGTAATCCAGCAAGGTTCTTGAGGAAGCTTACAGAAGATGAAATGACATTTTTCTCACAATCTGCCTTAAATTATTCCAATTTGGCTCATGCTCATGCTGCTGAAAATGCAAAGCCACTGGACGAGACTGAATTTGTGAAAGTTCTTGGCAAGAAGGTTGCTCGTTCTGAAGATGGTTCAATACTCGATGCTGTTCAAGACATACCTCCAGAGATTAACCTCCCTGATAATGCTGTGGTAGATAAAGTTCCAAAGGCTTAATTTAATTCATTTTAAGTACTTTTTATGTGCGATTTCTAGGATGAAGGCTGCTCTTGTTTCCAATAAGCTTTGTCAGTGCTTTGGTGTTCATACTGTTAAGTTGAATATCAGAACATGCTGTACGTGCTGGCGTATGGTTATTTTTTTGGTAACAACAATTTGGTTGTACTTAAGGCGTCCAGGAACATATCTGCAGTTATACAGCACTGTAGTTTGGCATGTACTCTAAAATAAAGAATATCAATTTAAACGAAGGATCTCTATTTTTTATGTAAAAAAACATGATCTCCTCCATTTCTTCCAAAGAACTTTATGACCCAGATTTTAGGTCTATAGGTCAAAAGTCAGAACCTCAATAATGGAACTAAAGAGAGGGTTCTCTAAATTCAGATACACCAGCTAAACCTGCTTTTTATGGATCTTTGATGTTTTATTTATTTAGTTTGCTTTACATTGCTGTTTTTCATGATTTTTACATTTCCAAATAGTTGTCTTAACTTGAATCCATGACTTGGTAGTTTCATTTCATGTTTATTTCTTTGTATAACTTTAATACACAAGACACGATAAGCTACCCAATAGAGGGGTGTTTATATATAAATTCCAATGAAAAGACTATTTTAAAAGATACAAATGGAAATTGACCAAATCATCATATTTACTTAGACCAAATTAAATTTAAAGTTTGTTTTTGAAAACTCGTTCAGTTAATCTATATAATTCATATTTACATATTTGTTTTTTTATAGTAGTAGATTAACAAAACTATAATGTCTTCTATTCATTTATAAAAAAATGAGCAAAGTTAATTGTAAAGATTTTATCAAAGTATATTTAACTGAATAAAAATAATTCTAAAAGCAATAGAAGTTTTAGAAAAATAAATACAATTAGGGGCACTCTGACTAAGGAGTATGATTTACAAAAAGAAAAAAATCTACTATTACCGTAAATCTGCAAAAGTTCCATTGCCGGGAATCGAACCCGGGTCTCCTGGGTGAAAGCCAGATATCCTAACCGCTGGACGACAATGGATTATATGTTAAAAAATGCGATCTCAGTTTATAAATAGTGTGAATATTAAGTATTTCTATCCAAGACTAATATTTTGAAACATAAATAAACTGATAAAAACTCCCAAGAGAATAACATTGAATTCAAGGGAAGAGTTAACTGTTCAGAAATAACACGAAGTTCTGTAAAAAAAAAGAAGAAGAATTAACACGATGTTGCATTTATTAAAAAACATCATATACTATTCGTGAATATTAATTATAACTTTTTTAGTCATACTACCTCGTGTTGGTCCACTTCGCCGACAATTTATTTTGAACGTTCCAACTTTTTATTTATAAATAAAATGTTTCATATCAAAGCAACCAAAGTCTTAGAAAAATAAATACAAGGGCACTTTGACTAAGGAAATCAAGCCTGGTATAATGAGAAAACCTAAATTGTCATATACCATATAGTACTATTATTCACTAAATTTTTATTTTAATCCTATTTTCTTGGTCCAACATGTCACAACTTTTATTTAATTGTGGTCGGAAATGTTTTTGGCATGGCAGAAAAAGTCAATACAAATCTGCATCGTTAATAGTTTTCAAACTACGAATATAGATAAAACATTAGATAAAGAAAATACAAATGAAGAAACACAAACAAACTAGCTAACCAAACTTGACATCAAAGAACATATAAATCACTCTATTATGGTAAGTGCTACAAGTTATACATCTCATCCACGTCTCTTACCAAGTCACACCAAATATTTTTCTTTCACATCTCTACTTTTCTATTCCATCAACCAAACCTCAAAATCAAGCTATGTTTAGATCCAATAGTACTCGAAGAGGTCATGAGAAATATGAGAAACTAGATAAAGAGTTTGGTGGAAATAATAATGGGATTTTAAATGAAGAGTATTTGAAGAGAAGTGCAAGTGTTCCTACCGGGCCATCAAATACAAAGGCAAAAATGGCTATGGCTTCAAACTTTGTGGATATTAATCTACAAAGAAATCCTACAAAGAAAGCAAGTAGTGATCATCATAAGGAGAAGAGTGTTCACCCACTTTTGAATTTCTTTGATTTTAGGAGGAAGAAGAAGAAAGCAACATCTAAGCCTGAATTTGCTAGATATGTTGAGTATATGAAGGAAGGAGGCATGTGGGATTCTGAATCAAACAAGCCTGTAATTTATTATAAATGACGTGGCTTGATCAAGTTTGATTAATGTTGGTGCTATTTCTTGTAAAAATTAGAGTTTGGATTTTTATATCAAGTTTATTCGCGTAAGAGGATGTAGTCATGTAGATCAAAGTTAATATAAATGATTATGTTCTTTGAAGTTGTATTATTTGTTTCAAACATTTCTCTTTAACTAGCTCCTTCACAAATTAAATCCTATCTATGTATTATATACATTGCTGCATGTTCATCTTATATTGACAAGATTAATGAGCTGGAAATTCTAATGGTTATAGCATAGTTTGAATAAGAAACAAAAAATGAACTATTGTGTTTATGATTGTTTTTATTTTTGGGTCAAATGGTCTAGTACTTAGAACTTTACAACTATCATTTGAGTTTGCAAAATAGGGTTAATAACTATTTCCCCCAGCTATTTGTGTCATTTTTGAAAAACTCTCTCTAAAAAAAGTTTGATAAATTTTCCTAACATTTGAAGATTCTCCTATTCAGCACTTTCATCAGACCCGATCATCAAAGAAGCATGATGAGACACCGTTCTTTTCATTTTTTATTTAATATTTATTCCACATGTGCATTTCACTTATTGAAATTACTCAAATACCTCCAACTAAAAAATAAAACATGATTAGTTAAAACCTCATTTGAAGAAACCCTAAAAACTCATATATGCTCGTTATCTTCATTGTGTCTGCTCCTTTACCTCTTCCCTATTACCGTGTCTGTTCCTTTCCTTCTTCCCCATCATCATTTTCGATTTCAATTTTGTTTTTGTCTTCTCCATCCTCCGTATTCCTCCATCATTAGTGAAAATCTCAGAAAGTTCAAAGTCAAGAATGTCTTCAAATGGAAGAATCATTCCCAAATGTGACATAATCTTTCTATGAAGATGTTTGTTTGAAAGTCTAATGCAAATCCTGGGAGAAAATTATGGAAGTGCAACTGTTGGGGTAAAGAAGAAGACTATCAATTATTCCATTGGAATGATGAATTTTTTGGTCAATGTGAAAGATAAACAACTCTAATTGGAGGATAAATCATAGAACTGTTAAGGAAAATGGATAAAGAGTTTGGGAATGAGATTGGAAATGAGCCGTATTCAAAAGATATAAAAGATATGAAGAAAAATGTTGACGCATAAGGAAGATGAACTTTGTAATAGTAGTAGTGTTAGTTGTAATTTCGACGCTTTAACGAATTGAGGATTAGAGGAGAATTCTAAGGACCAATATTGAGATGATGAAAGCTAATTTCAAAGATGAAATGGTAGAAGGTACATTTCGACTGAGTCTTTAGCAAAATGAAGCATTACAAGGCAAATGACTTAGCAATCTTTCTGAAGATACTCGAGGCGGGTTCGAAAAATATTCAAAATAAGGTTATAATCGATTTGAGCGCTCATTTGATATTTGAAAAAGAGATACGGGGAAGCATGCGAAAGGATAAAGACATGCAAACAAGGACGTGTCATCCTCTAAGAAGAAGATCACTCGTGGTAGTTAGTTTCAAATTATTATATATATGAGTTTTTATGTTAGAATTCTGTGTGTTCACTTCTTTGTACAAATTACTCAAAATAACTCAAAGTATCAAGTGTTCGAGAAACGAGTTGCTGAGAATGTACGTATGAAGCACCAAATTTTCATTCAATGTTATTCCTTTTTAATTGAAATCCTTTACATTTCTTTTAAGTTTAAATCGAAATTGCTTTACATTCCAGTCTTTATTTTAAAGCACTTTATTACTACTTTCGAAATCACAATCTCTATCAAAGAGATTGATGTCCAGAAAACTTAGAAAATAAAATATACACTATTTTCCTAGGATCAATCTAGTCGATCCTGTAAATAACCAGAATCTCTAGGATTCGGAAGACTAACGATTGTCTACCAAATTCTACAGTAAACAAATTGGCACACTCGATGGGACTCGGTATCTATTTTGCTAAAAATATTCTTTTTTTGAAAATTTGTCACTATTTTTCATATAAAAAGTTTGTTCATTAACATTGTCACATGAGATTAAGAAGTGCTAGAGTAGTCAGAACTAATGAAGTATTACCCAAAAGAAAATACGTTAGAAAAATGGTGAATCTACCAAGCAATAATGGAGAACAACCACCCCCTTCGACAGGGGAAAATATGATTGTAGTTTCTATAACCGAATCGATACCCGTTCAAGAAAGTACGATAGTGTTGTACCCCAAAATTTACCCTCTTGTGGTTCATATCCTTTAGGCTTATGCTTCATCATCATACACAACATTTTCATTGCATTAGCTCAATGGTATGGGATCAAAGGTTTGACTGTGTGAGTTTGTGCCACTCAAGCAAGGAAATTTGACTTACAAAGGTTGTATATTTGAAATCTCATCATCATGGGAATCATCCCAATGCATAAGACATATTGATTCCAAAGTTCCTCAAGCTACCTAAGATGGTTAGGGTTTAGAGGTCTGATCAACATCTCCTATCTTTTGTGATGTAAATTATGGTTTTGATCAAACACATGTTGTGATGGAATTCTTAAGCCTAAATTGACTCCATGGTCTTTTATGTGTCCCAAAGTATCCCTATGGGGTTTATTGATCCTTACATTTCATCAGAAAATCAAGATTGATTGAACAAGAGAATATTTGAGAGTGTTGAATCAAAAGTCAACAAAAAGTGAAATGTTTGACCAAATGAAAGTTTTGGTCAAAATCAAGTTCAAAGGTCAAGATATGAGAAAATATGATCATTTGTTGAGAAAAGTAAAAAAGAATGATCAAAAATTAAAGTTTCTTGAATTTGAAGTTACCTTAGACTTAGAATTTTTTTTCCAAGTTTTAAGGATTTTTGTGCTCATGATGCCATCTTTATAGCTCTCTACCTCACTCATTTGTGATCAGATGTGAAAACCTTTGCTCAAATGAAAGAGGGGATTTCACACTACAAGTTTGTTCTTGAGGACCCATCTCCAAAAAAATGCCTAAATCTTGAGATATGGAGTTTGAAAGTTGAATAATTGTAACTTTTAGATGTCCAAACAATTGGTGAAAAAATTGGTGTTGGTGATCAGGTTTAAGAGGGAAACTTCATGAACACTTCTCTGGTTGATTAAGACTTTAAATCAAAAAAATTCTCAACACCAAGTTTGTTCAACTTCTCACAATCTACAAGTTTGTAGAAGGTTTTAGTTTAATTTGAAATATGGATAGAGAGATATGGACATGAGAAGCCAAGTTCTCCAATTACTTGATTAGAACAACACTTAGTGAATTACTCAAAGGCTGAATCAGACTTGGATATGGTCACTTCAAGGGAAAATTACTCAATGTTAGAAACCTCATTTCAAATTGATATCAACACAAAAATTGTTTATAAAATATTCTTTTTCAATTGACCCTAAGATCATATCATTTGGACGTTTGGATGTCAAGTTAAGAGATCATAAAGGTGTTTATTTTGCCACAAGATTAGCATGATAGCTTGATAAAATTACACGTTAGAAATCAACTTTTGTGCTCAGTCTGAGCACTAAGGCTGCAGGAACGCGTGCAACATCACCAGTTACTCCTTATGGCCATACACAATATGCATTGCATGCATGGTGTAGAAAAGACCCTCAAAATAGAAGATTCTTATTTGAATTAGTTGATTAAGTTTGTCAGTGCACACCACAACAACCATACTTCTTCCTATGGCTGATAAAAAGTTCACAACAACATCACTCCCTCACTCTCTATTCATTTTGAAGGTGACAAGCAAAAGAAAAACTGAAGATAAGGATTGAAAACACACACACATCTGAGTCCAATATATAAATCCACCACCATCTTATATTTGGAGGTAGTTACATTCATCGAAAATACATTTACACAAAAATCAGTTACAAACCTCTAACAAGCTCATTCTTTCTGTCTCTCATTCATCGTCATTCTACTTTCTCTCTCGGATTCTTTGAGATTGAAGTCATTTCCAAGGGTCTTTTTCTTTTTCTTCTTCTTCTTCTTCTTCTTCTTCTTCTTCTCCATATCAAGGAGAATCTCATCCTTGACTCCATTATTCATTGAAGTAAGCTCAGCCACGACTTCAGATCATCTTCATCTTCAAGAGCCAATCACAAATTCTGAGTTTATTTCTTAGAGGATTGGACTTTCTTGAGCTATTACCTTCATCATCAATATCCAAGCGAAGTCAATTGTGTTTTCAGCTTACTCAGAGGGGTCTAAAGTTTCCCCAGTAGGTCGAAGCCTAGTAATGGCAATAACATCAAACAAGGTAGGGGTAATCATTCCACAAGGAAGGTGAAAGGTATTATAAGTACTATCCCAAAAATACAAATATGCCATTAACATGTGTTGGCAATAGTTGGGCCCAACTTTCGAAAATTGGATCAAGTTGAAAATACCCATGTCTTTCCAGACTTGGGATTTTTTCTGTTCGACTTTAGCTAGCCAGTCGAGATATTGTTTACTATCTTTTGTTGGACATGAACTAAAGGGCCTAAAGGAATCAATCATATAATTTATGTGAAAAGGTTTTTTCAACATTTGCAGAACCTGAAGGGGATCCTTCTTGAGCATTTTCCACAATGGACTCTTTAGGGTTTTTATCAGCATTTTCATCTACTTTCATGGGGCACTAATCTTACTTACTATGGGTTTGGTTCTATAATATGTGGGAAAAAACTCTAAGTTTTTCCAGATCATCAACATGGACCATAGAGCCCATGTATCCTAGGGTTTTATCAGCAAGAGTAAAAGGAATTATCATCTGAGATTCGTAGATAGCCCGTTGTTCAGCAGAAAGTGTTGGCGTTGGAACAAATTCTTAATTTCCAGAAGGAATGAGTTTGGTTACATGTTGAATATGAGTGAAAGCAGCACCCTTAGTGTTCTTCACGTTTTTTCTAGATTTGTTGCTCTTCTTCGTGGATGCCATTGATGAGAAATCTTAAAGATGAACGTTGATTTTTGAAGGAAGGAGATGGAAGAAGTTCACAGGTTTTTCTAAGAAG